AAAATACAATTAAACTGTGTATATAAGAATACAATTACTTCTTTGGGAGTTTCTCTAACCGACAACCATCACATAAAAGCTATTGTGATGATGCAGCGATCCAGCGCATCCTATACTTTGCCACATGTATAAGACCTTAACTACTAAGTGTACCCACTAGTCTATGCGAAAATGATTCATCTAAAAAGTATGACCCTTTTCTACCCATGATGGCTACATGGTTTATGGAGATGTGAGTTATCTGAACTCAAGCTCGTCCCCATATCGGTGCTCAATACTACTCCTAAAATACACTAGCTCTTTATGTTTAAAACATACTTATTTTTGTGATTTGAGATAATTGCTCAAAACTTAGCTCAAAGGCTATCTTGGAAATCAAGGTTTCCCCTCTTGCTTAATTATAAAAGCATTTACTCTTTTCTGAAAACTAGCTCAAATGCTCTTTGGAAATCAAGGTTTTCCTTTCTTGTTTAAATGTGAAAACATTTTAAACCCTTTGGGAATACATAGTCCCCATATACTTTTGAAGAAATGAACTTCAAACTTTACTCTTTTCTGAACTCAAAACTTAAGTCTTAAAACAAAGTTAAAACATTTGTAAAAGACTTCTTAAAATATGGTCCATGCCGAATTATGGACGTGAACGACTCGATGCAAGGTTTTCAATAACAATGGTTAGCTCTCAATACTTGGAACTCAAGAACTTCACTAACATTACTCATTTCAAGAATGCTCAACTCAGAGGGTTCATGCGGAATTATGAGCATGAACTACTCAACTCAAGGACTCAAATATACTTCTCATCTCAAGACTGTTCGACTTATAGGGTTCATGCAGAATTATGTGCATGAACAATTCAACTCAAGGACTTCATGGGTAATATGTAATAATCCCATGATTAGAAATATAATTTCACAGGGGATTAGGAACTCAATACTCAAGACTTAGAACTTGAAGATACTACTCCTCTCAAAGGTACTCAACTTATGAAGTTCATACGGAATTTATGGGCATGAACAACTCGACTCAAGGGTCAAAATATCAATAAGGAACTCATGTATATGCCTCTTCTAATTATCATACTTATTTAATCAAATCTTAGTTCAAATCAATAGTTGATCTCAAAGGATTCACAATTGAACTCAAAGACTTTTCTTGGAGTCTACTCTTAACTCTCTCTTGAATGTGAATTATGAATTCAACAGTCATGGTTCATGATATGAAGAATCTAGATGATAGTGTAGACTCATGAATACATTCTCCTTACTCTCATTCTCACTTACTTGGGTCTTGAAACAAGTTATTAGAAATTGTAGAAGACTCTTCAAAAGGACTCTCTCAAAATGTTTGGAAGAAATGTCAAGACTTAACTCTTAACTTTACCCTGAATTTGAATTATGAATTCAAGGTTATGATCATGTTATGAATGATTTCTAAGTGTTTGGAAGTAGTTTGAAGTGTTTAGAATAAAAAAAGGGTGAATATACACTTCAAAGGAGCTCAAACGGGACAACCGACGAAAGATGAGTGGGGGCAGGCGACCCTGGCGCGGGGAGCCATCCCCTAAATTTAGAGGCTGCATATGGGCGCACTTCAGGGGAGCCGCCCCATCCCCTTGGGCTCATCTGAGGCGCGCCGCCCCAGCCTTTCCCCAGGCAAAGTTAGACGAATTTCGCCTCTCATTTACTGATCCTAAATCACTTTTAATCGATTTCTTTTCTCAAATTTTCCTTAGATTCAATTACCCAACCTAATTACACACTAATCCACTCAAAACAAACACTTTCATCTTAAGAAATCATCAAAACCCCAACAAAACAAGATTAAGAATGAACTTCAAGAACACCTATCAAGAACTTAAATCTTTCAACTTTTGAGAATGAAACTTTGCTGAAAATAATATGTTTGGAGTGTGGGTGAACAAACCCAGTACTATGGAAGCTTACATATCTCTTAGGGATCAAACTCATGGCGACAATCCGCAACAACTCTCAAGAATTTTGACGAACGCTTCGATCCTTTCTCTTTTCTCTTCTTGAACTCTCAACTAAACCCTAGGCGTAAACTAGGATTATAAAACTGAACCTAATCAAATTAGACCCCTAAAATATTACTAAAAATGAATTAAATCTGACTGGGTAAGGAAAAGACCAAAATACCCCTCTAAAATCCCGTTTTGACTTTCCTTATCTAGACAACCCAACTTCGAATGGACATATCTCCCTCATACGATATCAAAACTGAGTAAACTCGGTGGCATTGGAAATATAATTCAAATATCTTCCCTACGGTGTCTGGTATCACACCTAACTCATCCTGAGCTAGAAGTTATGGTCGTTTGAATTCGACCTGAAACTCATACTTAGCTTAACTTGCAAAATTTCAGATTTTGCTATTTCCAATTTAATTTCTTTTGAAACTCAAGGTGCAACATCTAGTGACCTTAACAATTATGAAAATTTTAATTCCTTGGTA